TCGAAGTTGATGCCACCAGTAAGGAGAACTAGAATAATTTCTCCAAAATGGTTTACATTGCATGTGAGTGAAAACTGACATATTCATCTCTTATGGACACATGAATTTTCATTAACATAAGATTTCTTGTGTATAAATTAATAAATTCATGATTAAATGAATGAAGTAACAGATCAGGGGCTGATAGATCCTGCTTGGAAACTTATGCGGGTCATAAAAATCTGTCAAGTTTACGATGTAAATGGGTACAAAGTTCATACGAGATCTTGGTTTGAAGGAAAAAAGACTTGTAATTTCAGCATATGTGTTAAACCAAACGATAAATCAGATAATGAGATTGATTATTATGGGATTCTCAAAGAAGTTGTCGAACTATCTTATTTTGGCTATCTTGGAGAAAGTGTATTTTTATCTCTAATTGGCTTGATCTAATTCTTAATCGTGGAATAAGGGTAAACCAACTATATAATATCGCAAAGTAAAAGTGAACAGTGTATGTTAAATTTTATCTTTTCATTTTTAGCTCGACAAGATTATTAGGTTTAGGTTATGTTATTGTAAATTGGAAGGGTGAGTTGAGAGGAAAGGTCAAGCTTGAATGGTTAGAACCCTAGGCTTAATGGATGCTTATTTTAATATAAATTTTAGGTTTAATTTCACTTCATGTTGGGTGGTTGAAGTGAAGGAATGCATAAGACCAATTGAACATAGAAAAGTACCACTTATACTTGAACATAAATTTTATAAGATGGTGGTGAGGCTCGCAATTATTTATGTTGCAAAAGGTTAGCCTATAACAGAAGCATAGAAGTTAGTTAATTTAGACTTATGTTAAGTTGGATGAGTGGCTTTACACTTATAGAAAGAATTTGTAATGAATATATCCAAGAACTTTTTATTTGCTTTTGCTACGTATGTCATACTTGTCATATTTTTTATTTTTGTTCTAGACATAGTTACGAAATGTTTCCTGATTAGATTTTGCACATTCCTCCTTTTACTTATGTATACTATTCCTGATTATTTCTGTAGTGACCATAAGAAAGTCTACCACTGCATTGTCTAAGTTCAAGTTATATATGGACGCATACGACAGAAAAGAAGAAGGTCGAGATCTCTTGTGCTAATGTGGGTGTCACAAGGTTGTCATACCCGAGTACTGCAGAGCCTGCCAAGCAGATCACTCTTATGACTTAGGAGATTCACCATCTACGTGAAGGCCAACAGAGAAATGAGTAGTGTATAGCAAGCCCGATAAAGATTATAGAAGATCATTGGGGCAAACAAATGGTGGTTGTTGTAATCGAGGAGGAGGATAAGGACGAGGAGAATGACTAGGAGGATAATAAGAAGTTTTTATGTATTTTTAATTTATGAAATGTTTGAACTTATTTTGATCAAGGTGTAGATGAAAACTTTTGATAATTTAGATTTGTGGTAGTATCTCCTTCATATTGATATTTTTAAAAGCTTAGATACATGATATGGTTGAATATAATGTTGTTGTGATGTTGATTAAATGTTGTGTGCAAGTTGTGGAAATGTAATTGACTTTTTGAAGTTTTTTTTAGTTTTTTATTTTTATGTTTGTGTCGGATTTCTGTTCGTTTTGCATCCAATAATCCGACGCGTCGTCCATCGAACTTGGTTCGACGCAGATCCAGTGGTAATCCGACGATATTATTTTTTGTCTGATGTTTTCAAATGCAAGAGTCGATGCACGAGCAAACTAAACAAGTTTGGCTCTATGACGTCGCTAAAAAATTGTGTCGAAATATTTCATTGCACAATAGACGGAATTAACATTACTGAGCCTCGAATTACTCTTGAAAAAAATCAAACTTAAATTTAACATAAATCCTACAGTAATCCTCAAATATTGTCTGATTTAAGTTTGACTTGACCGACACAAATTTGTTGAATTTTTGTAGTGACCATAAAAAAGGATTTTACCCTGAAGCAATGATGGTTTTTTCGAGTTGCTTGTTTGCCCCAGACTAGTTTGACCACTTCAACTACAAAAAAAATATTATATTCAGTGGCTGCACCTGCGGCCACCCAATCACATGAGAGAGTGGGAGGCAACCTTGCACTCTCTCCTCTAATTGGGCGAGGCTACCTCACCTAATATTTTTTTCTTTAACAATTGGACTCAGCTCAACCAGTTTGATAGTCTTCAGAAACCTTCTTAAGGATTTTTTATCCTTATATCAAGCTCCTCAAAAAGTTTTATTCAAATACATTGTTGGGATTTGGGCAAGGGACAATGCTCTTTTTGGTTTGACGATTGGATGGGTAATGGGGCGCTTGCTGATCATTATGGTGGACCCTTTGATATTAACCTTAAAGTTAATAACTTTTGGTCTCATGATAATTGGATGAGAGATAAGTTGATGCAGTCTGTTAATATGAATGATGCTAAATTCATTGCTTCTATTCCTATTTTCAGTAATAAGAATGATAGCTTGATTATTAAGAAGAAGTTAGTTGATTCAATTTCTAAGAGCTTTGCTTCTGCTATTATGTTTTCTAATGGTTTGAACCTGGATTGGGTTTGGAATCCATGGTTAAAACCATCCGTGTTGTTCTTTATTTGGCATGTCTTAAATAACCTTCTTCCTACAGATGATATTCTTAAGATGAAAGGTTTATGGCTTTCTTCTCGTTGCATTATATGCAAGGATAGAGAAGAATCAATTAATCATATGTTTGGTGACTGCAGATTTATTGCTGAAATTTGGGACATGCTTAATGAGAGACTGCTTAATTTTAGAATGGATCATTCTTTCCATTCTTTAATGATTTGTTTAGCAGGTGGAAGAATATTGGTAAAATATTTTTTAATATCGTTCCCTGTGTGGTCTTATGGTTTATTTGGATTGCTCGTAATGAAATGCGCAATGTTTGCAATACGCTGGGTCTTATTTTTGGTTACTTATGCAAAAGTTTGACTCATAAGTTTAAGGGACAAGGTGTGGAAATGATGTTTGATATTTTCGACGGATTGTTTTTTACAAAAATATTATGTTAGATAGACTTTCAGAGTTATTTGGTGCAAACCAAATGCTCCTTACTTTAAGATAAATACTGATGGTTATTGGAAGCTGAACGTTGCTAGCTCGGGCGGTGTTTGTCGTGATTTTGCTGGCTCTATTGTTTGTTGGTTTGTTGCTTTGACTGTCCATTATTCTCCCTTAACAGCTAAAGCAGATGCAGTTGTTTTTGGTTTTATGGTGGCGAAGAAGCTTGACTTGTTTAATATCATTGTAGAAATGGATTCTCTGATCCATTGGAAATGTTGCAGATTTGATATAGAGACTCATTGGAGTATTTTGATTTAGATGAAGAGAATTAGAGCTTTAACAACGAATCCAAATGTGATTTGGTCGCATGCTCAAAGAGAAGGCAATTCTGTGGCTCATTGGACTACTAAGTTTGGATATACTTGTTCGAGAGCTCAGGTTTTCTTTACATTTCCTGATGGGTTGATAGCTTTGGCTATTAAGGAATTGTCTGTTTAGTGTTGTTTGTGGGTTTGGGTGTGGTGTGAGTTGTATTTTTCTTTTTTTGGGATAGGAACTTTTTTTCTTTTTTTTTTTTTTGTAAGTTGTATAGGGTTTAGGTTGGTTCTTATTCCAATTTTTGTTGATACGCCGCCAACAAACTTTTATCATCCGGCACGAATCTCGATGCAATTTTTTGAAAAAAAAACATTCAAACTTTGATTAAGAGTCATTCAAAACTCCGATTTAAACAAATTTATAGTCAAACTGATTGGCTCGAAGAGATGGACCTAATGATATGAAAGTCAATCCAATCCGAGTTAAATCAAGCCAGGATCAAATCATCCAAATTATTAAACCAATCTTAGAGGATTTCTGGAGGCATTTGAAAGGTCAAATGGATGTCAAATCTAACAAGTTTATAGTCGAATCGAGCGTCTCGACAAGAAGAATCCAACGAGCTCAAGATTGCTCAATTCGGACATCGTTAAGGCACTCAAATGTCCATCAAACGTTATCTGAAGGGAAGCTTTGTGGACCGTCGGATCAAAATGGTTCATATTTTGGCATTAATGGCCCCCACCCGCCGGCCACCGTCGATCACCGTCGGCCACCGTTGACCGTCGGCCACCGTCGACCACTGTCGGCCACCGTTGACCACCATAGATCAACGCTGACCTCTGTCGACCACCTACCGTCTGTGACCACCACCAACCTCCGTCGACCACCACCGACCGTCATCGTTGACTACCGTCGACCACCGCCAACTAGACGCTGTTAGCTAAAGTTGTACCTTGAAAAATCTAATAACCATTTCCCGTCTGTGGGACAAGGGGCCGCTGTAATCATCAACATATAGTGAATTTTTATAACTAGGCCAGACCCAGTGGTTTTTTTCCTTTTACGGGTTTTCCACGTAAAAACCTCTGGTGTCATCACTGGTCCTTTTCACTTTCATCTGAGTGTGTGTTGAATTCTCGTGCAGCGCTAAGACAATAATCCATTACTCTACCGCTGCGATTTTTCTAGCACGCATCATTTGTAATTTTTTTTTCTTGTGATAATAAAATGGAGCATTTGTGCTCTTAAAAAAATATATATACATGACGTTCTTTGGGTATACACATACACACTCGTATAGCCTTGATTAGCGGACAAATAATTAAAGCGTTTTCTTAATTAAATGCTCTTAAAAGTCCTATTGGATTAGGCCGTCGATAAAAGTGATAAACAACGCCAAGCCATTTATATGTGCACACCTCATCCGAGAGACATTAAGATTATAGTGTGGTGCCGTGGGGCTCCTTCCCTAGTTTTCACTAATTCATTAACTAAACGCTAAAGATCTCCCCTCCACAAGGCATTCACTTTTATTATTATTATTATTATTATTAATTTCTATTTTCTTATACGCTTCTTGTCGTCTAGCTTTCCCCAACCGACCTACTGAAAAGGACTCCTACCATAAAGCGCGCTAGATGAGAAAATTGTGCGAGGTTGCTCCTCACTCACTCCCCCCCTCCCCCTTTCTCCCCTCCTTCCTCTCTTCCTTCTTCAACCGATTTGGGTGTCCGGAAACACGAAACCCTAAAAAAAATTCTTAATCTCTCTCTAGATCCAGGAGTCTCTACGCGTACGACTCCCATACCTGCATGAGATGGGGAGCACCGGAGGTACTGGGCTGGCTACGCCGCCGCCGCCACCGCCGGTAGTTTGCTGCATGTGTGGCGATCCCGGGCTTCCGGTAGAGCTTTTTCGATGCAAGGTCTGCCACTTCAGATCTCAACACAAGTAAGATAAGTTGGTTGATCAATTATTCAGCTTTTCATCATCATTACTCTAATTATCTCTATTATTTGAAGTCTAGCTATTATATATATACGAATAAAAATTATTCTTCGTAAATAATTCCGAACAAACTCTTTACCTCTGACATCTCAAATCTACCTAGCTTATTTCTTGTCCTAATCTCTCAAAACTAGTTTTGCAAACTCACTAATCTAATAAATCAGATCGATGTTTGTTTAATTATTGGATCTATTTCGCCAGATATTGTAGTGATCTCTACCCGAAGGCGGAGACATATAAGGCATGTAACTGGTGCTTAAGGGAGGAGAGGGGAAAGGCGCTCGCCCGTGAGTTGGCGACAGCAATCGACAGTAGCGCTGGGCCGTCGGGCAATGGTAACGGATCCTTGGGATGGAAGCTGCAGCGCGGAGCTTCGCCGCTTCAGCTGAGCAAGCCCGTGAAGAAGCAGAGAGTGCCGGAGCGAGGGACGACGGCGTCGGCGGAGAAAATGAGAACGGATCAGGAGCTGTCTCCGGGGGCGGGGAGGGTTCGGCAGACCTTCAGAGGTAAGGTTAGGAGATACAAGCTTCTTGAGGAGGTTTCCAGCTAGATCCCAATAGTAACAACATGTTCTGTAAATGGGGGAATGAATGGTTATGGTTGATGCCTTGTGGGAAAGGGAATGAGAGATGGAGAAGAAGAGGGATAGTGTGCTTGGTTGGGGGTGATAAGCTGTATTTTCTTGAAATAGTAATAATAACGTGGCTGTGTAATTTGGTTGGTTGTGAAGGGTGATGTATGATGACTGGCTCCCACAACAACTCTGGCTCGTCTAAGAAAACTGATCCAATGAATGAATGATTGTGATGAGAGTGGAACCTCGGCCGCGTGGCTCCTAGTAGGTTTCCGTACCCCAACGCGTCTCGGATACTGGGTCAATGCTTGACTGCACTAAAGTTTACGTGGGACCATGGTCAAGAAGAATAAAGTTTATGTTTTTAAAATAAATTTATATTTAAATTGCTTTTAATATCAATGTATATCATGTTCAGGTGTATCTCGTAAAGCTGAGATTTCAGTTCAGGATTACTTGTTTAATTTTAAATTTTAGTAGTTTTGAAAAAATAAAGTGTGAGGTTGAGACCAACAATCCAATTGTGATGGATGATGAGGATTCGTGTAATCTCTAGTATATTTTTAAAAAAATTATTTGAGGAATAGTGTAGCTGTTGAATTTGGAAATGTCAGTGGGCTTACATTATCTTGGTAGGGCTTACAAGAGAAATAAAAGTGGGGAAGATGGCTTAACAGTTGATTAAAATAATAGAAAAGAGTAATGCACTCTCCTTTGAAGGCAACCTCCTCTATTTATAAATTCGGGGATGGTCGTGCTCAAAGAAGGTTATGGCTACACAAAAAGAAAGATTTAGACAGTTCGAAGAACAATATTGTGTATGATGGTGTCACTAATAACATCACAAGAGTGTAAGACGAGTTGATGAGAATACATTTGAACATTTGACTTGTAAAAATAAGGCGAGCCAGTGTCTTACCAAATTAAGGCTACTTGATGAACGTCCTTGGGTTGTCTAAGTTGTGCAGACTTGTACTCTTCAAAATTATACTTGGAATATTCTTATTTCTGTGTTTGATACGGACGCTTATCGATATACATTTAGTTTCATTGACGTCTTATTCATTTTTTATTTATTCTTCACAAAAAAAAAGAGAATAATAATTAGAGATTAATATTAAATTCTTCAAATGTTAAACCACCCACATTTATATCCTCGACTTTAGCTCCGTTAATTGTTGAAAAAAAAAATCATTTTTTTCTCCTATTCATCCTCTAAATTGACTTGTCCCTTGAATGTGAAGCATAATAATAATCAACTTCTGATTTAAGGATAATATTACATTGCATGTCTATAAACCTACTAATAAAATCAATCGTCATCAGACAGTATATAAAATACTCTTAATGACAGCTCACGGGTCACGATACTATTGGTTGGAGATTCGATACCTTTAATGTTGACTTCATTGATTACTCTCCTTGGTTCCTTTATCTTTCTTAGCTATAAATAGTAGGGTCCCCTCTTTCATTTTGAGTAAGGAATCTGAAAAACTGAGGATGGAAAGGAAAATGGTACGCATAAGAACTTCAAGTGATTACATTTTGTTAATGAGAAAGAAACAAATTGGATGGTTCATGCGGTACGCATAAGAACTTCAAGTGATTACATTTTGTTGATGAGAAAGAAACAAATTGGATGGTTCATGCTAGCCTTCATTCCTCTTCTAAACTTCTTGTTGGAAGGTATCCAAATGGGCAAACCTTTTGACCGCTAACTTCGAAGATACCTTCCCAAATTCTTGAGAATCAACGACTTGAGGTTTGCTTCATACTAGGGAAAGCTTTCCTTTATGAAGGGAAGCACCCGAGTCAATATTGCCTGATTGGATTTTCTTCTAATGGAATTTTCTTTGAGTTGAAGAATCTGCAATGGATAATAACATTTTGGAGGAAGTTGTGTTGCCAACTCTCATCTTTAGCTATGGGTTTGCAAACTTCAGTTATTGCCTCTTTTCATCACGTTGGTAATCAGGTTTTCGCATCTCCCAGCTTAGTATCATTTAAGAGTTGATTCTGGACAATGGAAATCTGTCATTCAATTGAAGATGAGAGAGGGAAAGCCCTCTCGATTTAACAGATATGTGGATGTTGTAGTCGACTCAACACCTCCAACAAAAGGGATATTTTTTTTCTTAAAGGAACCTGTTAGCTCAGCCCTTTGGCCAAACTCCTCTAATTGTCATTTATGTAATAAAATATTACCTTCTAATGAAACTTTTTTGTACCTTGTTTTTTAGATGAATATAGTAATTATTCTTTACTTGCACAAGTTTAAAGTTATTTTGTTTTATAAATCCAAACATTTATCTTACTCAATTTTGAAGAAACATATACACATAAAGGATATGTCCTTCTATTCTTAAGGTATAAACTAATTTATGAATGCTTAAGTGTCGGTTTAAAATTTCTGGTTTATTAACTATATCTGTTAGTAGTCTCTAACCCCATATAAGTTATTTTTTTTTTGGTGCATAAACATGTTATTTTCTTCAAATCTTACTCTATGATGCATGCACGTAATAATATTTGGTATTTCTATTTGAATGATCAAGTCAATACTTGGTGAGATCAAGGAGTTTATGCATGTCAGTGAACACTCGACACTTGGAGAACTCGAACCTGAGTAATGAAATCGAGAGTGACACCAAAAGCATCTGATAAGTTAGAAGCATAAAAAATAACTGACAATGATATCAAAGACGTTTGATCGATAAAACAACCCAAAGGGCCAGTAACGGGACTTTCCTTACAACGAGCTCAAGTTCAATCGCTCGGATCGGACAAACATCCGAAGATGGTTCCCTGCCTAGTAGCGATAAGCTTTGCGAAGAGTACGATGACAATCATCCTGGAGAGGAGTCTAGGCGGCCTCCTTCCTCAAAGAGGAGACCTAACCTAAGATAGAGGTCTGGCCGGGCAAGTTAAAGGTTAGAACTCAATTCCTATACCCCAAAGATGATTCGTCGCCCGCAGCGACAAGCTCTGCGAAGGGTGAACGATGGTCGTCTTCAACCCTTGAGATGATTCGTCACTCGATAACAACAAGCCCCGCTGGGGGTGTACTGCTAGCATCCTTGATCCTTGAAATGATTGGCCACCTGACAGCGACAAGCTCCGCAAGAGTTGTACTACTATCATCTTCGATCCTTGAGATGATTGGCCACCCGACAAAAAAAAAACTTCGTGAGGGGTGTACCACGATTGTCTTCAACCCTTGGAATAGTTTGTCATCCGACAGTGACAAGCTTTGCGAGGAGTGTACGACAATCGTATTTGACCCTTGAGATGATTGGTCACCCTACAACAACAAACTTTGCGAGGGGTAATGGGCAGACCGTCCCGAGGTTTGATCAATAGTGGATGGCTCAAAGGATGTCATAACAGAGTCCAAAGAGCACTTAAAAAGGAGTATCAATAGTGATTTATGTGCTCGCCTTATTTGCTTTATAAATTTCATTATCCTTATCGCAACCATTACTATAAAGTAGTAAGAAAATTAGAGAACTTAATATATATACTCAAAAATAGTCTGCATGGATCTTTATGCAATCTAATGGTCTAGATAATAAAATCAAAATACCCAAAAAATCTTGCACTAACCCTTTAAAACAAGAACGATATTGTAATTTATCTTTGGTCCTCTTATCATTGATAAACAGAAGGGCCCATTCATTTAAAAAGGCTTTAAGTTCCTCCTCATGTTACTCAATTATTTAAGTGAGATAAAATAGGTCTAAAAGCCCGGGGAGCACCGACAGAGCAAGTCCTCCTCCACTCTCTCTCTCTCTCTCTCTCTCTCTCTCTCTCTCTCTCTCTTTCTCTCCCTCTCTCAATCTTCTTTCCTCGGTCTCAACACTCTATCCCTTGGGTACGATATACAGGATAGATTTTGATTCAACAATTCGATAGAGTTATTTGGAGCATAAAATTTAGCTTAGAGATTGTGGGCTCCAAAATTCGAAAAGGCCCCGACCACTCTTAAAAAATAGGAAAAAAGGATAAATTATGAGAATTTCATGTGAGATTTTGAGTTGAATTTTTAAAAAGCAAGTGAGATAGTAGATAAGACACTACCTGAATCATGATTTCACCCACTTTGCAAGGACTTTAAGATCTGAGGTTTGAGTTTTCCCATTGACGCAAGCCTTTATAATTAATTATATCTCCAGATAATGGGAGAACACTTTAGATTAAGGCTATTCATTAGCGAGTCGATTGCTCAATATATAGTATTTAAAAATTAGGATTTATTAAATCATCATTGTGAGCTAAAGAGTGAATTGTGAGGGTAATGATGATGCACCCTATCAAGATCCCATAGTTATGTCATTCCAAAGTGTCGTGGTCCTTGGTCTAATTAGTTAGAGGAAGTTGTCGACCCAACATGACAAAAAAATGTTTGTCAATAACAATGGGTTGTTTCATTCAAAGGGATCTTGTAAGTCTGGGGTAAATATTTGTCTAAAAGAACAAACTTAAGTCAACCTTAACTAACATAGGGCTTCGTCTTCTACCAAATACTCATAACTTAAAAGGGTATAGTGTCATTTAGGAATATACGGGCTATTGATGCGACTTTTTTATATGCTTAATTTTATATATTCTATATAGTCACAATGATTAGTCTATTTACGACGATTAAATACTATTCACTATGTATAAATGCAAGTATATGTATCACTCAAGTAATATATGATTTTCTGATTAAGCCCCAATTATCGATCCCACGAGGAAGCGAGGAAAGGTGTCCTTAGTCAAATTTCAGTTTACTACTATTAGTCCTTAGTTTGGAATGTCAATTAAAATGGTGTTTTATCTAGCAACTACTCATAAATGCGAATTTTAAATATAAGGATAGTAACTATTTCTAAATGTAAATATTAAATTCTAAAGATAACCCTTTCTGGATGAATTAGTTTGGAGAATTTTGAGATTTTTAAAACTACTATTCTTATGTAGTGAGTTGGATAATGTAAAGGAATGAGATACACTAAATATTGTATGTGCCAAATAAGAGCAATTTTAATTCTCTACCCTGAATCAGTGTTATAGAAAATCCTCAGCTAATCTCAAGTTTAGTCCCTAAATCCGTGGCTAGGCTAGGAGGATACTGGCTCCCACTCTAGAGCTCCCACTTTCCTTCCCCTGAAGGCTAACTCTCACTTTAGTTCTTTAAACACTATGACTGAATTGAAAATTTTAGTCTGTCACCCTAAAATCTCCAATTCTATGCCTATCAAAGTATATTTCCCTATTTATTTGCATCCAACCCCCATGAACTTCACCATCCATGGAATTTGAATGTGGTTCCACTTTGTTGAGAATTACACCGCCCTCTCAGGTCTTAATGCAATTACAACGAATTTTAACACTACAACAAGCCTTTATTGTAATGTAAATGAAGT